GCGATTTTGAAGTTATTCGATTTGCGGATCGAAGATTAGAGAAAGTCTTGAGAGTTGAAAAAAAGGTTCCTAGTATATTGAGGTGATGATTAGGATCTTTAATTCATAAGAATTATTGTATATAAGTTAAGTCTTTGAAATTTTGTTGAATTCCAAAGGGGAATAGAATTAAGTTAGAAAATAGATTGATTTGAGTTTTGTTGGGTTGATTCTTATTGACTTTCACTGAATAAATTGTTATTTGATTTTACTAAATATTGTATATAGTTATTATTAGAATTATTTATTAAATATTTGATTTGTTATTGACAAACTTTATCATTATTTAATTCGGTGCATGCTTAAAGTCCAGGCCTGGCACATTAACGCGAATCCGCGTAAAGTACCTGTTAGGGAATGGCTATTTCCAGCACAGAGTCATGTCGATAATTGTTGGAAAAGTCAGAAAAATAATATAGTACTTTACAAAGTGAATAAAAAATGGCGCTGCAAACTAATGTAACATTGTATGGTGAGGTTTTCTTTGTATCATGGAGCAAAATTATGTTCAACTTTCATGTCATATCCTGAAAATTTCGTATGCTGGGGCATTTGTATCCTGAGGTACCACTGTATAAAGTGCATTTCAAATTTATACAGTCACAAAAAAATTAAAGTGAAACCCAAATTTACTGCATTAAGTGACAAATGTTTTATTAAAAATAACATGGATTTACATGTTTCCACACTGCAAAATAAGAATTTTAATCAAACATTAACATTTTGTCACTGAAAATAATATTTTTGAAAATTTTGTACAAAGAAACTGTTACATATTTATCTGGACAGGCACTCATTTCATGACTTAAATAGAATATTGTTTAGTTTCAAGCATTGAAATATGCAAATTAGCTTACATATCTAATTGTAATACAAATTCTTTATGTTGTTCAAAGTTCTAAAATGGGTAGAACTGTTATGATCGGTGGTTGTACAAGATCGTGATAGGAAGAAACATACAAGTAATACGAAACAAGTGAAATTTATTCTAGTAACAAAGAACAATGAACTCAAATTTTTACATAAAATAGAGTGACAATACAATAATTATTATATAATTTGATAATGGACAGCACGCTAATCGTTTATTACAAAAACTTTTAACATACGTGTTAAATTAGACACCTATGTCACTAAATTGACGAGCGCTTTCGACGATATACACTTTCGTCTTCTTCAGGTCATTAGAACCTTTTTTGAATACAANTATCGCAACTAAATCCACAATATATAGGCGTATAACGCATGCGCAACATAAACGCGCATATTTTTTATTTAAATATCTGTTTATATTCTACCGCGCATATTTTTATTTAAATATCTGTTTATATTCTACCGTTGCTATCATTCCAAATTTGCTATTTAAGATTGGAATGTTTTTTAAAAATTTTGTATTCAAAAAAGGTTCTAATGACCTGAAGAAGACGAAAGTGTATATCGTCGAAAGCACTCGTCAATTTAGTGACATAGGTGTCTAATTTAACACGTATATGTTAAAAGTTTTTGTAACAATAATTATTTCGTATCCCGACTCAGACCTCTCAACATGTACAAGTTGAAGACAAAACCGGAGGACATGTGGCGTCATACAAATCAGAACGCGCTTGCGATGGTAGAACTATGGAATACACTTCCTAAATTACTTAACTAAGTCTTAAAATTTACTTACGAACTAGGGAAAGTTGAAAATATGAGCATAGGATAGCGAGGTTATAGATATTTAGAAAGGGGTAGAATTAATGGGTACTCAAGATGTTGCTTCTCTAACGAAAATTCGGGTGGTTCCAATCTGCTATTATCTTCTACAGGATCATCTGTCAATATGAGTATTTCGGAGATGATCGAAGGACCTTAATCCCTTCTTGTCC